TTTTTTTTAATCTGTTTGAATGGCTATCAAACCGAGAAAGATAGAATAATTTCCCGAACTCGCCTTAGTGACAACGAATAACAGTTACGCGTTGAGGTTGAACTTGGTAAATACATTTAATGTGTATTATTTCGTGGTCATTCCAAACGAATTCGGAAAACAGCTTTCATTAAAACAATTTTCCCCACAAAATAAACTTTAATAAGGATCTCATAAGCTGCTCTCGAGTGACGTTATTAAAACGAGACAGAGTTCCTAGACCTGTAGACGACACTCAGCTGTGGATGGCTTTGGAAGCATTGAGTATATTACGAACTAGAGGATTAAAAATGCTCAATAAATGCATTTAACATTTGATATCCTGGTCTCCGCTAATGAGGCAAGCATATAGTGCGTATCCTATCGCAATAAGATTGAAACGAAAATAATATGATGGATAAATAAATTATTTTTGCGTGAGACAAGAGCATGACATTTTACATTAACCTATACTAGGGTGATTAAGACGAACAAAAATAAGACAATAGAAGGGAAAAAAGAAAAAAAAAGTGGTAACAGCTAGCGTGTTTCATCGAAATCTTCGAGGAGAGTAACCCTTAATCGTCTCACTATTCCACCTCTGTAGTTTTTTTGCTGTTATCCACGAGAAAGCATCATTCACTACAAAGTCCTTTGAACAGCATTCTTAGCAGGAGATCTTTAGAAGAGACGGTAATGAATTCCGTACCAAAACTATGCTACCCCACCGGACAATAGGCCAAAATCCCGATATAAATAGCTAGTGTCACATAGACAGTTAGCAGTATTATTTCTCATTTTGATTGTCTTTGAAACACACACCGAGATAAAAAAACGTATAAATGTAGATCAGTGGTTCGCAGCTAAGAGAATGACGTAGCTTAAAACATAGTGGCTATGCTAATTGAGTATACATGTACCAACTGAAAAAAGCAAAGCTATGAAAGCTATATTGTGGTAGAATTATCTCGTGGTAGATGCTGTACCTTGGATATTATTAAATATCCACTACTTTAGATAGGAATGACGCAACTGAAAGTAAGCTGCCGTGCTGTGTACTCTCATAAAGAACGCGCTCCCAACCAATCAGAACGCGAGATATATAACAGTTAATTTACTGTATATATACGCTATGTAATAATATATGACAACTATTAAAATGACTTTTGTTTACACTGTAATGCCTCAAAGAATAGGCCATCTCCTTGAAACAAATTTATCTATTCTATTTTACCAGGTTTTACAACCTTGAATGGACTTTTATCCAATAATAATATATGGACCAATGGATAAAGAGAAAAATGTGCGCATGCGTAAACGATTTTGCTGCAAAGGAAACAGCGGACGGGATTTTTTGGTTTTATTATGATTTTGAAATTGCTTGCTTTTTGAGACTCTAATTCAAGGAATCTTTTTTCAAACTGATCTCAAGGGTTTTGGCATATTATCCTGGCCGCCCGAGTACTTATTCTCTAAGATTTTTTTTTTTTTTTTTTTTTTTTGGATTTTTCGAATGTTTTTTAAGAATGTTTTTTAAGAACTACCCCACTCGATTGTAAACTAGCTATCAAGAGAATATAAGCCTATATTATTTAGCGTTAATACGATTATTTGTTAGGTTATGAACACTTACCTTGATCACGTCATTCTTCGATGCTCTGGCGTCAATAGATACTTCCATCGTCTATTCATTCCTCATTTCCCCTTTCCACTTGTCATATAAAAAGATTTATGAATCTGTGATCGATCCTTGAGGCAACGATATTTCAAATCAAAGCATGGGTTGAGTATCAGTACACTTGCAGCTCAGGTCCGCGATATTTGTTGGTATAATTCCTTTTACGCTTTGCCCGGGGACACCTTCATCTTGGCTTGTAATACATGTAAGATATAGGATCTTTTTAGACTAAGGTTATAAGGTTAATGCCTTGGTTTTTTACGAAACCAACATCTTGCTTTCCTAAACCTTATTCAAGTGGATGTAGGTCAACCTCTAAATGCTAATTTATTCAATTTTGTTGTTCAAAGAATAAAGAAATTCTAAAACGCACGAGTGATCAAAATTCAAACACAAAAGTACATGTCCAATGCGCTGTTATCATATGACCCGTACGGCCCTGCTCGCGCGCTCTAATAAAACCATTGGAAAAAGTCACGTGATGGGGGCCGGACGGGTTGACGTAAGCGGGCCGGAAAAACCCGTCCGGCCCTGCTCGAATCCGCGCGCTTTCTTTTCTTTTTTCTTTTTMTTTTCGTGAGGGTCATATGATAAAATGCTTATTGACTGAGTTAGGTCGGGCCGTACGGGAAAATATTTGGCTCTCGGTCATTCGTACGACATGACCTCGAGCCAAATATTTTCCCGTACGGCCCTCCCACTCAGTCAATAAGTACATAGTCCTGCGCATAGCGAAAATATTAGAAATGAATGCATACGTTTTTCGTATTGTTTATGCTTCTTTTCGTTCGTTCGTTCGTCCTTACATCAATTTTTTCAATTAGATCAGCCGAGAGGTTGTTTCAGGGTTCTAACTGTGAGTTAGCCATGCCCTGACTTAGATCAACTCAGAGGTTGTTTCAGGGTTCTATCTGTGAGTTAGCCATG